GGAGCCGTTCATGAGCAGCCCATACAGCCCTACCCCTCAACGTGGAAGGCACCACCAGCCTGTGACGGCGGATCGTCCCGTCCCAATGCATGAGTAAGCCCTGGCACCACCCCCATGAGTCAACGCCCGACTTCCCTTGACCTGATCCTTCCGCGCGACGTCGTAGCGCCAGGAGGGTCGCATCCTCCATTTGGAGGCGACCCCACTCAGTACTTGACAAGCCAAGTAGGGAATCACTCCCACCCTCCGAAATAGGACCAGCGTCCGAAGGAGTATCAACTGCGGCCGCAAGAACCCGATCCCGGCCGTCACTTGCCGATTTGCAACGGCCCGAACCCAAGAAACAAGTGCAATCCGGGGCGATCGGCAGGCGTGATAGGGCATCGGCGTTGGTGTGGCGAATCCCCTTCCGGTAAGTTGTCTCAAAATCGAAATCCTGCATGATCTCGAGCCATCGGGACAACTGCCCCGATGGCTGGTTAATTCGTAGGGCATACTGCAACGCTGCATGATCTGTACGGACGGTGAAATGCCGGCCGTACAGATATGGCCGGTACTGTTGGATAAAGAACACGATAGCCAACAGTTCGCGGCGGGTGACGCAGTACCGCTGCTCGGCCGGGGACAGTACTCTACTACCATAAGCCACAACGCGCTCCACGCCACCCACAATTTGTGACAGCACGCCTCCAATCCCGGTATTGCTTGCGTCCGTGTCGAGCACGAACGGCATGGAAAAATCGGGGTAGCTTAACGGCGGGGCCCCCACCAGGGCATCCCGAAGAGAGACAAAAGCGGCGTTCTCCACCGGCCCCCAATGAAATTTGACCCCTTTTGACGTCAAGGCATGTAGTGGCTTAGCGATGGAAGCAAAGTCCGCAACAAACCGGCGGTAATATGAAGCAAAGCCGATGAAGCTTCTAACCTCCCCCACCGAGGTGGGAATAGGCCAGGAGCTGACACAACGCGTTTTGGCGGGATCGGTTGAGATACCTGACCGGCCGACGATGTGACCCAAATATTTAACAGATTCGCGCAGCAAATGGCACTTTTGTGGCTTGAATTTCAAATTAGCAGCGCGCATTTTGAGAAAGACGGCCCGAAGCCTATCAAGGTGTTCCTCGAACGTCTTACTGAATACGATAACGTCATCCAGGTAAATCAAACACACCTCCCATTGCAAGCCAGCGAGGACCAATTCCATCAGGCGCTGGAACGTCGCGGGAGCAGAGTGTAATCCCATGGGTAAGCGATTGAATTGGAAGAGGCCGTGCGGCGTTCGGAAAGCTGTTTTGGGCCTGGATTCGTCGTCCAAGGGAAGTTGCCAAAATCCTGAGAGCAAATCCAAAGTGGAAAAGAATCGCGATCCCGCGAGGGCATCCAGCGATTCGTCCATTCGAGGAAGCGGATAAGCATCGGCCACCGAGATCTTATTTAATCGCCGGAAATCAACGCAGAACCTTAGGGACCCGTCGTGCTTTTTGACCAACACTATGGGTGCACCCCAAGGGCTGGTCGAGGGAGAAATGATGTCCGATTTCAACATGTCATCTACAGCCGATTTGACATGATCCTTTTCGGCGGGACTTAACCGAAAAGGATTTTGGCGGATAGGAGCGTTGTCACCGGTGTCAATATGGTGGCGTAGCAATTTGGTACATCCGATATCGTATTTGTGTTTACTGAAGACGTCGGAAAATTCTCGCAATAAGGCGCGTAATCTAGCACGTTGTGCGTCAGACAGGTCAGGTGACTCAGCACACAACGCATCCAGCCAAACCTCGTCAGCGTCTGAGGCTAATCGCGTTTGAGAATCGGTGGCCACCTGGCCAATGATCGGCGTTTCCGCAGGTACCGGAACCGCATGTGCGAACACGGTACCTTGCGAAACCACTGCCGTCCGTGTCCCGACATTGAGGACCGCGATAAACGGGTCCCCATCCCCTTTAACAATAGTCTGGGCCGTCACCAGATCTGGCCCACTCACCCCGGCTCTAGATGGTCCCAAAATAACGCCCCGGTCAGAGACTCCTTTATCGAACGGTCGACGCAAGCGCAGGGGTACCAACATCTGTGCCCCCGGGGGTACACGCACCGTCCGAGCAACAAGCGCCTGTACCGTAGCACAGGCAACACGCACGGCAGGGGTGGCAGGTAGGAACGTCATACGTCGGCCCGATGGAAGCTCGATGCATTGCTGGTCAATCAGAATTTTGATGGGCAATTTGGCCAAAAAGTCTGTCCCCAACAGGCACGGAATAGCCAGCGAGGAGGAGACGAACACCGGGCCAGATAGTTTAATGTCCCCTATCGAAATTTGCGCTCGAATTTGACCGATAATACCCAACGAGCCCCCATTCGCAGCGTAAAACGGTATATCGACAGGGAGCAACGGGCGACTCTGAACGGGCAGGATATTATAAATCAAATCTGAAATGATAGTTGCCGAAGCTCCCGTATCGACCAATAGCCGTACCTCCACCCCGTCAATATGCCCCGCGACAACGGACGACCCCGCTGATGCAGCCACAACTCGGTGAGCCAACTCGGACCATTGGCCCGGTTGGAGCGCCCTCCCCGACATGCCGCGACCCGACGCACCAGCACCCAACCCCCGAGAATTGTGTATCGGACCATGTGATAGGAAAGTGGGTGTGTGTGCAGGCCGAACATGTGGGGTGCCATGACTTGCCCGAGGATGTTGCGAAGGCTTGTGAGGAGGGCCGTCCGCAGCTCCAGGTCTCGCACCGCGCTGTCGAGGAGCCCGGCATCCGGACGCCACGTGGCCCCGGAGGCCACAATTATAGCAGACGACGAGCGTTCCAGAGGACTTGGGCTGGTCTCGGTGGCTTGGAACGTCCCGAGCCGGTCGCTCGGCAGATCGCCATCCTGCAGAACGATCCGCAGCGAAGGCTCCCTCCATTCCAGAAGAGGTTGCCGCCACGGTGTGTCGTGCAGCAGCTTTGTTCGCCTTCCTCCGCTGGGAGATGAGATTGGCGTGAATGTGCCTTGCAGCCCGCAGTGATGACATATCCGCATCGTCCTGCGCTAAGATGGTGAAGTCCAGATCGTCAGCCAGCAGCAAAATTTTCTCGGCCACCATCGCGTCGATCCCCTCTTCATCCATACGCGGGAAAGCGTCTTTCGCCAATGACAGCAGGGCCGTGCGATAAGCGAGTGGCGATTCCTTATCACCCTTCTGCCGTTCATAGAAGAGCTGGCGACAATCGGAGGGCGGCCCATAAACGGTGGCCAGCAGCTGCAGCGCCGACTGAATGGTGGAGCGTGCCGACTTGGGTGCAGCAGTGAGGGTGCCCAGGGCGTCGCCGTCCAATAACGCCGGGAGAGCACACAGCGCCTCGTTGTCCGACCAGCCTGCCATCTCTTGGTGGGCCAAGAACCGGCGCTGGAACCCCCCCCAATCGCCGTCGCTTGCAACAAATACCTGCAGGGCCGGCAGGCGTTGCTGGAATGTCGGCTCCGTCTCCGATCCTCTTGGAGCGTCTCTTGCAGCATCCGTAGCGCGTCCCCGTACTGTATGGTCGGTGCTGGCGTCAGCTGGTGGTGACGTTTCAACCCCTGATAGGCTGCCACCGCGACCCGCCTCCGCCGATGACGTGGCGGCTGCTGGCTGGGCACCGTCTCCCGCGTGACGAGCTGGGACTCCTCCCTCCGCCCCTACTGTCTTCGTGGCGGGATTTTCGAGTCGCCCCGCTGTTGTAAAGGCGGGAGTTTCTGGCGGGCGTTGTCCATCTTCCCGCCGCGTCGCTCCTCCCGGCCCCAGGCGAGTTATTTGTTCCAGCATAGCGGCCGCTGCATACAAGAGCTCCGCCAGCCGTGAGTGAGCCAACGCCAACTCGTCAGTCGACGTCCCGGCCCTCTCCGACGGCCCCGCCGATGTCGGAGCCGGCAGCAGTTGTGCAGGTACGTCGGCGGCGATGTCTTGCACTGCCCCTCCCTCGTCGTCATCCTCTCCTGGGTCTTGGGCACGAGTCTTCCGTCTCGTATCCATGCTTGGCCCACTTCCAACACCAGATGTAGTAAGTTGATGAGGAGACGATGAGGAAGTTGAGACACACTGTTTATTAACTCCGGGACAGATACAATAGTTGAAGGGGTATCGGCCCCTTCACCCGTACTATGGGAAACCCACCCTAGTACTAAGCCCTCTGTCCTGTCCCCCAGTCCTCCTCTACTGGGCTACGGGAGGCTGACTGATCTGGCCCTGGCAAGCACAGATCTCGGCACCAGCTAACCAGCCTTGCCCTGATAAGGGCAGCGGTCTGGAAGCTCTTGGGCCGCGCCACTGGCTTACCCGGCTCGGCCCTTATAAGGACGGCGAGACCGGGGAGTCCCAGGGCCTAATCTCCGAGTCTTGGATCTTCACTGGTCAGCTTCGTGTCGAACTCCCTCGAGCTCTTTGGGTTCCACCTTTTATAGGGATCGCCTCCGAGGGCTGGGGGCGTGGGCAATAACTGATGCGGACGTCGGTGTGACCCCCCGTGTATGTGAGTGCCGACAGCCCTGTGTTTGTTGTCCGCCGTTTCTCCCGTAATAACCCCTACACGTGCAACACTACACTCATGCTGGGGTCCTCACAAATGTCAAGTCGAGTCGTTAGAGATATTGTTTATACAGATTGATTTATTTTTTATTCTCATGCCCTGCACTCTCTCCCTCTACATTCTGCTCATGTGGGCAGGTATCCTCTTGCCTCTCTTGGATTCGTGAATAGTAACCCAGAGATCTATATCTGGTTTTAGGTGAGGCTGAATTAATTACTGCTGCTGCTGCTGCCTCTGTTGAATTTGCGAAGTTGGCAGCAGGTTCACATCGCACGCCCCTGCAGTTTGGCCAGGATCTCCCGTGGTCACACTGCGGGGGCCTCCTTTGATTTTCCACTTGTGAAGGTGGTTGACTGGCTCCGGCGTGGGCGGCTGCGCATTCCGCCGGGCAGCGTTACCATCGTTTATTTTTTGTTTTTTTGTTTTTGGGTGCAGGAATCAGCAACGCTGAGTCGCGTCAGCCGGGCAAGGCGCCCAGCTTCAGCGTGAACTGGACGGTGGGCGACCACAGCCTGGAGGTGGTCAATGCCACCACGGGCAAGGACGACACGGGGCGGCCCTCTCGCCTCGCCAAGAACGCCTTCTTCACCCGATGGGTGCGGCTCTATGGAAAGGTGGGCTCGCGTGCGTGCGTGTGTGCGTGCGCTTGTACGCGTGGAGAGCGGTGGTGTCGCGGTTAGCGCACTTGCGCTACGAACCCGGCTATGACCAGAGTTCTATTCCTGCCCACGGCCAACACTCGTGACGATTTATCTGAACCGGTCCTGGGCCTCTGCTAGGTCGACTCGGCTTCAAATGAGTACCTGATGCGGTGTGTTACCATCGCCACCGGGGAGACAAAGGCGGTCGGACGTGGTGCTGGCCACCCATCCCCTCCTGTACAGTGCCGGCCTTCATAGGTGCTCGCTAACAGCACTTGCCCCAACAGTCATATGGGTGGTCTTTGTCTTTTTGGGGATACGGGAGGCTGTTACATAGCCTGGCACAAGCGCTGAGGTGATGTCAACCCCACTTAGTGGCAAACGGCAGCTGTTGTTTTTATTGGGGGGGGGGGGGGTGCGGCAGTGTGTTGGTGAGCGCACCGTGCCATGAACCCGGTCGACCTGAGACTGATTTCTGGCCACGGCCAACGTTAATTGCTGGTGATGTCGAACCAATCCTGCCCCCCCCCCATCCCCTAGGTTGACACGGACCTTAAATGAGTGTCTTGGGCAGTAAATAAACATTCACACTGGGGGAGACAAAGGCGGCTGGCTATTAGTGTTGCTGGCCACATCACCCCCACCGGGCACCGTTCCGGCCTTGACAGATGCTCGTAAAATTGGACTTGCCCCGGCAGCCTACACAGGCTGCACAGAGGAGAGCTCTGTGTTTGCATGTCCCGGCAAATTGTTGGTTACTGCTGAACCACAAAGTCGGTGATGTGGGTCCGTTTGCTTGCCCGTGGTGCATACCACCAGTGAAAATTTAAGTTGGAACCAACCTGGCCTCTGCCGCCCCTAGGTCAGTTTGACCTAAAATAAGTAGCTTTGGTGTACCAAAGTTCGCATTGATGATACGAATGTGGCTTGGCATGTTTCTCGCCATAACGCTCCCAGTGCACGTGTGTGCATGTTTGAAACCGTTAAACGGCTTATGCATGCGTGTGTGTTGTGCGTGTGTGTTTTCACTTTTTTATTTTACATGTTTGTTTTGCTTGTGCATTGCTTCATGTCTATCAATGTATTGTTTGCACGTCACTGTGTGCATTCGGTGGTGTGGTACAAGTTTTCATTCTTGTAATTCCTTTCACGCAGACTGAAGTGAGCAAAAACTAAACGTATACCCTGACTAAAACACACCCAGACTTCCAAAAATTAGGCTGCACTTTTCGACTTCCTTCGACTACAATTAAACCCGGACTGAATTAGCTTAGAGCTTCACTCCAATGAAAACCACAACTTAAAAACAAGTGCCACTGGGAAACTACACAGACCTCAACGCAGGTAGAATTTGATTTTAGCCCGGTTAACTCGGCTTACTACTAGTGTCGTTAGCCGCACCACATGCGCGTCGCACTTTTAAGTCCGCCCCGCGTCAGCGTTAATTAAACGCGGGCGTACGAAGCGATCCCAGCCATCGCGCTTAGTTCAGAAATACCTTTACCGCCTTTAAAAGTTGTGTGCCGCAGGATTGGTGTGTGCCACGCTGTGTTGCCTCGTCCCCTTTCTTTCTCCTTTGCTCCGGGATTGTGGGGCTAATTGTATGCGGATAGAGCCTTCTTCCTCTGGTGTATCCCCCCCCCCCCAGCCTCTTGTTTCGGAGGTTTAATAAGTTTCCGGGAGATGAAAGACGTGAAAGTGCGAATCGGTGTCGCTGTGACTTTGACACCCAAGAAAGGGGGCCTCATTCCTCGGAACCCAATTACTAAGAGGAGCCTTTTGCGCAGCACCAGGAAGTGCTTTTGATTCGGGCGCACCTCACTTCCCACGCGCATTAATGAGCGCGGGCACGCACATCTGTGGCTGCTTTACCCCACAGCTCGATAAGATCGCAGGACTCTTGAAGTGCGGCGGTGCACAGGTATTCATCGCGTTTTAAACGCGAGCCTAATTAAGTGTTAATTATATTTTATTCCAGAGTTTGCTCATTAGCTGGGTCAGGTAGGATTGAAACAAGGGCGTGCCTTGTTCTGCGTGTGGCTTTGAATTTTGATACTTTTTTTTAGTTTTGTGAAGCTTTTAATGCAGCTGCTTCTGGCCTGAATGGGAATGGCCAGTGCACTGACACTCCACACATAATACATTAACGGTTAAATAAATTAATTCATTCATACTTTAATAATTTTATGCATTTTTCCACATCAGTGCCAGACCCGGTGTGTAAGTGTCGGAGTTATTTTCGAATTTTTCCTCCCAAAGTTGAATCGCAGAGGATTGATGTTTATAAATAAATACTTGACATTCACCAAGGATCCTCTTTGTTCGTTGTAGACACTTGTGTAAATTATCACTGAATAAAATTAGTGTGAATAGTTTAACCATTACCACATTGCTGATCCATGCATTACCACTTAAACAATAAATATGTTTAATGCATACAGTTTCATACATTACTACCACTGTCGCGTTCAATACGCGAACACCTAATCCTTTAACACTTGCTATGAATTAACATTTGATATGTAAACACTTGGTATGCCATTAATATATTTTCACTTAATACTCGTTTATCATGAACACTTGATGCTTTAACAATTAAGGCATTTAACACATCAGCATTCATTACAAACACTTCAGAGCGCACGGATATATGTAAATATCTAATATATTAACACGCAATGCATCGTCTCTTAATGCCATTAACGGTAACATCATACATAACACCCGAGCACTTAATTTCACAGCGCTGCCTTTTGTTTTAGGAGCCCGATGTTAAAATTGGTTTTTGGTCATGAACTCAATTTTTCCCACCAACTTTCATTACCAATTCAATGGTCTTAGGGCTTGCTCTGCATAGCAGGTATTCCATTTCATCACGCACTGCCAACAATAGCCGGGACTGTTCCATTAGTTCGAGCGGGGGGGGAGGCACCCGCACGCTGGCCCGTCCCTAACTCTTTAAAGAGGTCACCCTTTCTCGGGATTGTATCCCCCCCCCCCCCCGCTGCTACGTGTGAGTGATGGTACACGCTCTGTCACTGATGATTGGTTGCCACGATGGCTGGGGGTGTGGCTTCTCCTTCAAGGTTGGGCTGACATTGACCACAGTAGTTTATCAACAGGGGGGGGAGGGGGGTGTTTTTAAAGCCCGCTGCTCTATGTGTGTCGTTATTACTACGCGTGGCACCCCGAGTGCAATTAGAGCCATAGAGGAAGGATTTCCCCCAAAAACCTCGCCGTGATCGCTGCGTATTTTGCAATCAGCGTCTCGTGAATGGCAGTGTGGATTGCTATTCCCATTTCCCTGGAGGTTATTAAATCCCCCCCCCCCCAACGCCATGATGATTTATGTACATCTGCGAGCGCTGATATTTTTACACTTCAAAAACATGTTTTTTAATTGGCCGCTTAAAAGAGAAATGAATAAACATGTCCTTAGAGGAAATTCCTTTATTTTTTGGCCTTGGTAGAAGTCATAAAATATATAATGCCCATATTCTCCTTGCTTAACATTGAATATGCTTAAAATGTTACTTCTGCATTCATGTTAACCACGTTGTCGGCAGAATAGCTTCGCGACTCGCAATATTTCCACTGGATACGGACTTAAAGAGTTTGTTCAAGTAATTAAGTCGACCCAGTAATTTCGGCCAAGAGTTACGGGCCTGCTGTGTGAGGTGAGGTGGACACTAATGACAGAGTGACGGCCTTATCGAGAGCAGTCGGTTGACAGCATCAATACTGCTCTTGCTGATCATGATTGTGCCATTGATATCATTCTGCTGATGTCAGTCGCTTAGTGTGGTTGGCATGGGCCCGAGTGCATGATTTGACATGCCCCCCCCTTTCCATCTGCCCCCCCCCCACCCCTCCTGAAGCTTGGTGCAGTTGCCCTGCCTGCATGCTCAAAAGCTACTCGACTGGCTGATGCTGCTGCTTTAATACTGAAGGAAGCAGATACATGCTGCTGCTTGAGTGGATATTCTTCTTGCTGATGATGATGATGCAGCCGGTGTAGCTGCTGCCAATTATTATTGTTTGTATTTACTTTTTACCTGTGCAGCTGAAAAGCCGCGTACCTCTGAAGCCGGAACGCCCCACGCTGTACAGCATGGCCAAGCTGGAAGTCGGCGATTATCAGCTCGCCAAACAGCAGCTTGACCTCAGCTTCCAGGGAGCGGGACTGGGAGCCTGGATCAAAAAACCCATTGAGCAAGACCAGTTTACTGTCGCGGTGTGAGTCTGGCTGGTGGCACCTCCAGAATAAAGTGTATTGTCGAGGGAACAAAAGCAGAACCGGGGGGGTGGGGGGGGGAAATGAGGAGCCCTAGGTAGAGGGAGGTGAAGGATATGGGGCGGGCAAGAGAAAAAAGAGGGTGTTTAAATAATAATTAAAAAATTAAGAAAAAAATCATTCAATTTTACAGCATTGCCACCAAAATGTTGCAATGCAGTTTTGTGGCATCTGTTCATACATTTTATAAGCTGTGTTTGATTTAATGTGGTAGAGATACCCTGCATAATTAGTAGGTGTGCAGAGATGTTGGAATGAATGTCGGTGCATCTTCATTGGTGTCACTTCAACTTTTCGTTTAGCCCAATATGGAAATACTTTTTCACCTGTGCTCAATGTAGATTTTTAATCGTCACCTTTAAGTTTAGTCATTTGAACAGCTCCTGCTTTTTTAAAATGTACCTTTTTGTAAAAAATAAAATGTGAGCGTGTGCTTTTTAGTATCTCCGTTGAACCGCATTCCTTTACCACGCTACCCTAATGTCCGTTTCTGCCCCAAAGACTGGCACTAACAAACAAAATGATCTTGTCCCGTCATTTTAAGGTGTGTAAACAGAGCGCACGGGCGTGCATTAAATCCCTATCGCTCACACCTTTTTAACGAGGAAAACCAAGTGGCCGATGTGCGAAGGAGCGCGCGCTTGTTTGCAAGCAGCGTGGCTCTTGGTCCATGGCCAGTGGCTTCGTTACATGGCAGCCGATTGCTCCTTGGTGCTCCTGTTGGGGTGTTGGTTAGGGTTGCCATCTCCTAGATACAAAAAAAAATCGAGACCTATCACGGGTAGAATAATACCTCACCATTCCATAAGAGGGGGATAAGTTATTTGACTGCTTTGTTTTTGAGTGGGTATATTATCGTGCAATGGCAACAACAAAAACTGAAAGTGATAACTTTTAATTCCCTCGGGACGACTTACAGATTTCCCTGAGCAGCAACCTCAACAAGAGGGCAAAACTGGAGGGAAAAAAACAAGGTGGAATCTCTAGTCTGGGGTACAGCCCACACCCTCACCAGCACCCATCCACCAACCTGTCTCTCTCCTACGTTGTGCGAGTCCCAAGGCGAGCAACGTAGCCAAATGTAACCTTTCGTTTTATCCTGTTTGTTCAGAACTCAAAAGCCATGAGGATGATCAGGGTTTGGGCCCAATGAAAAGGGCTGGAAGTAGTACCAGTTATGTGATATGTACGTAAGGGAGGAGATTGAATTGGAGAGAGGTGGTATTTAAATGTCTGATCTGTTAGCCCTGCTTGCTGCCCACTCGCGCTTGGCTGTGTCCAATGAGGCTCCAGGAGACAATCTCAGCTGCTTGAAATTAATTTCCATTCCACAGCAGTTCGTGGTTGGCATTAGTGGCCACTGGCCCTTCACTTGTCCATAAATAGAACTCACCGCCCAAATTAAAAGTTTTAATGTTGATGGCCGATTGTTTTTTAGTGCGGTGTGCCAACTTGGCAACAATAGCCCTCCTTTTATTCGTAATCACACTGAACCAATGAAATTTACCCGCTTTCGAAGTGTTAAACGCAAAAGGTGAAGTGAAACTTATCTGTACATGTGTGACATAGGTATATGAAATTGCACTCTGCCCATCATACTGTGGTTTTCTGAGCTCCGATCTTACTAAGGTACACTACGTTTGTGTATATATTGAATATTGGAAGATTTTAACGTTCCTTAAATTTTAACTGTGAACAAATTAACTGGAAATTTAAATGTTGACCGCATTCGTGAATATTAAGCGTTCAGAAAACTCTGCAGCACTGCCGGAGATTATAAATATTGTCCAAATCATTATTTACTCCCCAAAGCGAATGCTCTGCAAGATGGATCTTTTAAGTATTCCCTTTATCTTTCGAAAGCAAGGATGTTTTACACATGTACATATTTGATGTATATTGCTGCATAATGAGTCCTTGCTTTACAAAACATATGGAATCTCGTTTTGCTTTGAAAGGGAATAAATGCACCTGTGAAAAAGAATGCAAGTCGGTCAAATGCCCACTGGGTCAAACTTTTTCCTTGTGTTTACTTTAACTGTAATCCATTAAATGCGTTATTTGGTTTAAGTTACTGCATTATATTTAAAGAGGAAATTTAAGAAAATACCCCTGAGCTAATTTCCTATATTACAGTACCTTTTGGTGCTGCTGTTTAATTAAATTGATAATAGCCAGTATGTTTGAAGACGTGAAACATGTTGTATTGGAATCCTCCCACAGTAGGCATGCTTTGGTAATTCAAAACCAATTTAAGTCCTCAATGTACAGGCGACCGTTAGGGCTTGCAGATCTGAACCATGGGCAACTCATTCAATGTTTTATTGGTTTGGTAGAAATACAAGTCCTTTACAACCAAATGCAGCGTCCGTGCATTTTCGTTCCGTCTTTTCTTCAGTCCAACCAAAGCAGTCACATCAACACCACTAGGCTCTCTCGCACGCATAAAGTGCTCCACAATAAGCATGCATTGTACAATCACTTGTAGCTTCACAGCGAACGGCACGCGGGATAGGTATACCGTATATTACGCGATCAATGCTGGCGCCCAACGCGTTCACACAAAACGCGTCGTCACTTTCCGTGGGGGGCGCGCGCACAAAGGCAATTAGATTACCCTTTAATTGGCCATGTAGTGGGGGGACGCGGAGTGCCCTTAATCAGGATAGGCACACAGCGCTTGCTCGCTTTGCCCATTAATGAACGGCAAACAGGATCCGCTGAAGACACTAAGTGGTGGTGGTGGTGCTTTCTGGGCGGATGTGCATTCCGTGCTGGAGAAATGGGTGGCTCCATTAATCTTAATTTACATCGCCGTAAAAATAAACGTGTATAGTTAAGCTGCACACACGACAACTTCTACGCAATACGCACTTGCAAGGCAAAACACTATAGTGACAAAGGACCTTTACTCGTAATAATTTGACACACTGAAGCATGGTAGTAGCGAATGAGCAGCATTGGTTTTTGGACACGTGATGCAGCACCTTTTTCTTTCGGGAGTTGAAACGCAACCAAGCCGGGTAGTCTTGCCACCAACCTCATTCGGTTCAGTCCCGAGGAAATTAGCATCGCAAAAACATCGACACCAACGCAGATTAATATTTACAGGATTAAGCCAAACACTTACCCAAGGCTGCCCTGCCCACAAGTTAATCTTCATCGGCATCTACCCTCGAAAGGGTGCGGCTTGTCAGGTCGGCATGGATCAATGTTTAAAGATAAGTTCTATGTACATGTAACAGCTGTGGAGACATTGAGTACAAATGGAAGATTTTTCAATGTCGTTCCCTCTTCCCATTTCGGCTCATTTTAAAGCGTATTGTGGATCAGGTTGGTTTTTTTCTTCCCATGTGTAAAAACGGTGCTGAACTGCCAACGAGGGGCGCTTTATCCTTCAAGTCGGGGTGTGCAAGTGAAAATGCAGAGGGCCAGTGATGAATAAGAGGGACAGATGCAATCGCACATTCAAAGGGGACATCACATTGTTCACGCAACAGGTCACGGGATGCACAACCACCCCATGCATCCAAACTAGACTACTCCCAAACCCACGCACCTTGAATGCGGGCGCGTAAACACGAGCAGGGACAACCTTGGTGATATAGTTATATCTTATTCAACTATTGGCAAGCCGCCACACTTGCGAATAAATATTAATGCTTCTTTGTACATAAACTTTGCGTTGCGGTGTGTGCATGCGATAGCACGCGCCATTATATATATTCCGACTCGTTCACCAGCTTAAACAGCCACACAACCCCAGTTTTCCTGAAGTTGGTGTAATAGCCATGCTCAATGCATTCACTATATGGGATGTACAATAAAACTATCAAAAACATCTCAAAAATAATCAAACCTCAAGAAGTTTATATCTTGACTTAAAGCTTTCGTGACTGCAGGAATTCATATTCTTTGGGTCTTTCGGTAAAGCCACGTAGATAGAAACTTCGGGATATTTTTATAATTTTTTCTACGTGGCTTTATCGAAAGACCCAAAGAATATGAACTCAAGAAGTTTATCGTCTAAACTTGCACTAATCTGGTTTATTTTATGTAATGAGCGACCGAAAACGGCAATGATGAATTCTTACACAAGAAACTTTTTGTTTGTTAACCGAATACTACCTTCATTTGTTGACACTCTTCAATTAAGAGCATGGATAATGTTCATATTGCGCTGATATGTGGCTGTGATGTGCTCCGATAACTGCACTTAAAATAGAAACCCCACTTGAAAATAACATCCACGAAGAGCTGCAAGTGAATTTTACGACAGAACATTGACCAATGCGTTACCACACATCGAATGTAACGCTATTCTCACCGAGACAGGAAATGCTCCCGTTTCCACAATTGCAACACCATAGTAGCGAGTGTCTGTGCTTTAGAAAAATTTATTTCTCAAAATTAAAGACCCATCTGCTATTCTGAAAAATGTAACACGGAAGGCAATTTCTTTCAGAATAGATTTGGAATTCAACTTGTATCTGGATGGTAATATCTCACTTGACATTACTTTATTATATATTATTAAATACTTTATAATACATCATAAAGTATTTAAGACTGGAGAAAATAACAAATGTGATTGATGTTTTCAACCCATATTGAACAAGTGACTTAGGAGCTTGCCCACCTAATAACGTATGAAATCTCTGAATATATCAACACTATTGAGTAAATATTCTGCTTCTGCAAGACCTTCCGATGAGGGATTTGCCATGAAAGGTGGATTGAGATGAGATATCATCGGACTTCCCAAGAAATAAGTCCGTGTGTGTCTGTGAAGAGTTTGCACACACACCAAATATTAGATGGCCGATGATAATTGTTACATATTTTCAAACTATCAACAATTAAATCCACACCTTGCCCTGTCCCGTGCCCTCCCCCACCTACCGAAGCAATTCAATGAAAAGTCACAATTCAAAAATCATATGCCTCATTTGCCCCTGCGGGTAAACGAGCATGATAATAACCTGAAGGTAACGTTCTCATATTATTAGCAGAAACGTTAACCGGCATTCCACGCCCATTTCTTTGCATTTTATCGCGGGTGTTCAAAAATGACTGATGAATTGCTCCAAGCCGCACCCCTAACTTCACACAATCGAGTCTCTCGCACCGCAGCTTTCAAAATGCACCGCACTTCACCGTGCTTTAAGTTCTGGCCCCATGCGTGACCACCACCGTAGCGATGCCACATCGGGATGAGATAGATGCGGTTCAATCAATGCTCCCTCAGCCTGTGTGCCGTAGGTGCGCTTCCTGGGGTGGGGGTGGGATGAGAGGAGGTTTGGTTGTTTGGTCGGATGCCCACGAGTGCGCACACGCGGCCCAACGGATCTCAGTGGAGTGACAATTAGTGAGCCCTAGCTGCCGTGACGAAAATGTGAAGTGAAAGACATCCCACGTGGACTCGCGAGGAGATGAATTGCCAGCTTGGCGGTAAGGGTTCAACAACTTGCTTTTGAGTGAAAGAGAAACCATTGGGCTCATCCATTATTTGGCGAAGGTTGGATTTGCAGCCATTTGGGCCAATAAAGCCGGTTAAGTTAGATTTTTTTTGACGATTGTGTGAACTGTACTTAATTCGATGCAACAGTTGTTGCTCTCTCTGCTTTAATTGCTGCAAGATGTTAATTAAAATTAGCAGTTTTTTTACTTAAATGTGTTAAAATGATACCACCACATTGCAATATGTACCGAATTAGTCAAATGAATTGTGGACTCGCGCATATGTGGTGTGTGGGTGTTCCGCCTTAAATATACGGCATCAATAAGAGGTTATGGAAATGTACTGGTAACTCCATGGGCGGTCTGGACACGCAGAACGTGGGTAAATTATCCGAGCAAGGAGCACTGCCTCATCAGTAATGCAGACGCCAGCGAGTAAGCCACACTGCTCTATATGCTAATTACAACTGCTTTAAAGTTAAGTTTGTATGCGGCTTAAATTAACGGCCCCTGACTTGTGCACTTCTGTTAATTTTAATGCGACCCAGGTTCCGAGCGTGATTTTCTTCCAAATTTCCCTACCACTTTGCAGAAATTATACTTTCCAAAACGGCGTTTTATGATGCGATTCAACATTCACTAGGACCCAAATTGAAAGACGATGGAAATGTGGAGCAAGCGCAAAAAAAAAAACCTCGTCTCCACAAATAAACTGGATGCCGTTGCAACAATCGTTAGTAAACTAAGACAGAAGAGGCTGCCTCTGTCGGTGTGCGGTTGATGCTACGGAGCCTTTTTCTCTTGAATCAGGGCAGTGGTGTTGATGTTCCAGCCCAGTGCTTGCCGGTCAAAGCCACAGGTGAACAGATTGCAGGTGCTGTTCTCCTCACTCCACACGGCGCTGCAAACCATTCGACGATGGCCCTGCACACGTGGGTGGGGGGGGGGGAAATAAACTTTAACATTCAGGGCAAGAAACGGGCACAAAGACGCTACAAAGCTGCAGTGCTGACAAGCTATGACGCCGGAGGATTTCATTCGCATTAAAGCCGACCCTGCCATTCACTGGTGTGTGAACCAGTTTCATGCTTCTAGACTTGAAGCTTTCGTGACTGCAAGGAATCATATTCTTAGGTGTTTTCGGTAAAGTCACGTAGGTAAAACATCAAAATTAATAAAATAATAAAATAAAAATAAAGATCACGACGTTTCGGAGGCAACACAAGTCTCCGTCGTGATCTTTATTTTTATTTTATTATTTTATTATTTTTGATGTTTTACCTACGTGACTTTACCGAAAACACCTAAGAATACAGTTTCATGCTCTGCCCAGTGTGTATACTTATGAAAAGTGTTCCGTGTCGACACCCATGCTGCCAAAGTTGTTTTTGTTGTTGTTGTTGTTTACATTCCATTTGGCTACCTAAAATGGCAGGTGGCTTAACTGCTAGCAACAAGTTTAGCACAAATGCATCTCGGTCGCTAGGAAATTGACCATGGTTCCACTCGTGAGAGATTTACAAAGAGCCTGCGCTTCAGCCAATTTTCATAAAGTCACGTGAAGCCTTATCATAATTGCAACTTCTTAGCCAGGCAACAGCTGGTTCACGCACTCAATACTCTCATTGCCAGGATAGGAGAAAAACGGTGGTAAAGCGATGCATCCTCACGCTTTAAACCATTGGGTGTGCAACCTTTTCCAAGCATGAACCACACTGGAATTGGGAATCTCCTAGCTCCCCACGGGCTGTCACGTTCATAAGCCGGACATCACGATATCCTGTTTGCGGTGAACAGCCCCAAAAGACTTTGCTCAGCGATCATGTACCCGTGGTGCTCGCGGGTTATATAAACAAAAACATGCCACACCCTGCAGGTTGCACACCCCTTCTTTAAACCATCAGTGGCAGTTACTTCCTTCATTGGTCAAGGGTCAACCCAGTCTGTTTTTGGCCACTACACTTGCCATGGGGATGAGGCATTAATTGGAGTGGGGAAGGATATGCAACCCTGCCAACGAAAGTTTTCATTTGCAGGCAAGTATGGGCTTTGAGCAGTGTGGGTTGCAAGTGAAACTGTGAAAGCTGTGCTGCCAAAATGTGACAATCACGCAAGCCTTTAATTGCCGGGTTTTGTTTTTCAAATAGTCGTTGTCACACTCCCACGTGCAGGGTAATGCCGCTGCGTCCGTGTGACGGTGAACATGAGTCCTGCCAGTCTGACGCCGTTCACTACTCTACAGCTTTATTCCACAATATCCCCCCCTCCACATATCCACCACCACTGCTGTAAGCACAAAGCACCAACGGCAACACGAGCAGCATTTCCCAGAACTTTCATTTTGACAGAAGACACAAACGGAGTTCTTTTCAAGCGAGACGAGCAGACTAAATGCCTTCTCTCAGCACTTACTCTGGTTGGTGTCATTAACAGACCATCTATTGGTTACGCGCAGTCCAGGGCTGTGACCTGCCGCTTGTTAAAAGCATGCAGCTGCTCAATAATTAAGACGCGGCTAAAATGTGAAGAGTACGGCTCTAATCGCGCCTAAGCATAAATTCAGAAGCCACACGGTGGAAGTACATGGTGCTTAAGAACGCCTTGCATGTGTACAAGTCGAGGTCATTGCTTTACTTCGGGAGAAATTCTAAAATCTGCTAAATCTGTGGCTGTGAGAAATTCGGATTCTTTGACAGTTCAGAAAAAAACACTGCCAGTGATTCTTATATCCCCTGCTGACTACTCTGGGGATCGCACTCATAATGCTGTTTACCCAAACGATTTAGATTTAGAACATTCAAATTCATTACATCTTTCCACTTTTAAAATCTTACACAACACTTTTCACTTAACAATAAATTACTTCGATTAGCCCCATGTTATCGGAATATTTTCCACACTTGTTTATGATTTGCAACATGTTAAATTTTACAATCGTTATTTTAAATTTGCACTAACGAACCCTGTTCGTTCCTGTCTCTATTGCAAGAAAACTGGTCTCAACGGGCTCCAGAACTGAACATTAAATATTCATGATGATGATGATACAAATGTAAGACAAAACGCAAACTCGTTTGACGAGTTATTCCTTCACTTAAAACGCGTCGTACACATGGCAGAGCTTGCACGCACAAGCACACACATGCGCATCACATTCACTAGAAGTGCTGTGGGCAGCAAAAGTGAAAGTGAAAAGGGCAATTAGGGGATGGGGGGGGTAAAATCACAAGAGGTGAATCACACTCGCCAAACAGAAACTATCCTCACCCATAACTCTTAACTATGCTTTGCATCCACAATAATAGTCCTACACCAAATCGTATGAACAGATACCAAACCCCAGATGTACTCGATGGGGCCATCCTTTTAGATACTCTTTAGTACGTACGCATGGAGAGGCGAGGGGGGGGGGGTAACCCAAATGTGTACGTATGTCTACTGATAATGTACGTACGCATAGGAAGCGGGGGGGGGGGGGGGGGGTGATGCCTCGATAATAATTTGTCTACATCGGCCTTCAAATTAGTTAGATAGTCCGGCGGTGGACTGTTTGTTTAAAACACGTTCATATTATGAATCCTTGATCGTTTCTGTGTGGATTAAATGGATGGCCCCTAATCCTACCCCGAACCCGAATGACACTACCGAGCCATACCATAGCCCTTACCCGACACGGGTCATACAGTTGTTCCAATATGGTATCAATCCCATTTGTACCTTTAACCAAACACTTCAAGTTCAAGTTCATTTATTAGGTATAGCCCTGTGAGCCATTCGGCTCTTGAATCGGGTGCAACCGCAACAAACAAAAAACAAAATCATGAACAAAAAAACATCTTAAAGTGACTATGTGACTAAGTGCAAACAGAAAATCCAAGAAAAGACAGCAAAATATTGCAGAAAAAGCACCGTTACACACCAACACTGTGTGCAAAAATCCCAGTGGGATGCAAGTCAAACAACCAACAACAACAACCACAAGACAACTTAGATTAAGGCCATCAGTCTAACTCTGTACTACAACAAATAAACATGGCTAAACCAATACACTTAACCCTAACCCCAAACTCTCATGAAACTACCCAACCAGATCCTATCCCTAACCGTACACAAGCCAAACTACCACTAGAGCCAACACTATCCCAGCCCCTAACCATAACCAGAGCCACCATATCTGTCTCTAAACCCAGCCTGCTTTCACACTTTTCAGTTACATTTTATTGTAGGTGATCACAGGTCATGGGAACCGTAAAGCAGTTGGCTCTGTGACATGTCCCGGGGGAAAAAGTGAAAAGTTGAGACTATTCAGCTGTGACAGCAACGGGAACAGTTTAGTTTTGACGGCACCGTTGATAACCTACGTGCATTAACACTTCCACCATGCGTGTACTTACATGTGCCATGAGCATATTCCCAATAGCAGGGTTCTTCAACAAATCGACTAATGATGGATACAGCAAAGAGGTGACTGTGAAAATGGATGCAATGCAACCGACACACAGAAGATGGACGGGAAGGATCGAGGAGGACCAGATGGAGAGACCTGGCAGAATAAAATCTAATAATGCTAACAAGAGAAGGCCGCAAAAGATCCGAAGAGGTGAAGGCAACTCGTGCTGATTGCACATGTGAAAACACTAATGACGATGATGATAATAATCATCAGCACCAGAAGTGAAAAGTGAAAAAAAATTAACCCGTAAAAACAAAGTTTTTCACTATAAATCCTTTATATGCGTGGCGGCTAGAGTCCTCTCGTCCTCTGGCTTGAGATGGCTGCCACCTATGGGCCAGATGATTGCCTACCACCATTAAGCAATTGGTAATTAAATATCTTTTTTTTCCCTAAAAAGTGTAAAATTTTGGAAAAAAAATTTCACGAAAATTAATTGTCACGCACAACGAGTCTGTGTAGAAAATGTCAGCTCGATTGGATTACGGGAAGTGGGTTAAAAAACGACCGAAAGATTTGCACGGTCGTAAGCGCGCAAGCAAGCAAAGCAAGTGAACTTAATATAAAGGATTTTAAAAAAATAGTGAAAAGGGGCAATTAGGGGATGGGTCAAATCATAAAAGGTGAATCACACTTGCTCATGATCATTATTATTACTCTTACCTGCCGGTTGCTCCTTGGCAAACGAGCCAGGCGAACGCCAGACATGTCAAACAGACGCACGTGCCTGTTGTCGTGAGGCAGTGCAATGATCTTGTGCGTGGGTGACACACTGAGCCTGAGAGGTGGGATCAAGTTAAACAGACCACAGGAGAGACATCAACATTGTATAAATACGGATGCAAACAAAATAGGATCAATATATGTACAGCCCTTTGTCAATTCGCTGCTGGACAACGGCTGTGCTTAGGCCATGCAGAGGTCATGGGGGTTATTTGACCATACGTCATCACGTTGATCAGTGTCGGTTGGTGAAAGGGGAGCATAGACGTGGGAGCATAGTACAGTTCAACATATTTTCTAGCAGCACGGCCCTCTGCTGCTGATCATGTAGCCTCGCAACATACCTGTTTGCACATGTAAACAGTTCATTCAGTTTCAACCCCGCTTATCTTCCGAGAACTGATGCATTCTGGGTGATAAAATCGTTGTCGGTAATAAATATAGCTTTCTAAAAATCTTGCCGAAATTCATAGCCATTCTGACACTCAATTCAAATAACCATAATGTAACACATTTTCAGCTGCCCCACGATTCATGCCCATTCAATCAGTTTAAATAAAATTGTGATTGATTATATAATTGTCATGTGTGTTCACAATGTCCCTAGTCTAAAGATAACTCAAGACAACTAATCATCCCAGCGCCTCAGGCAACCATTAATTTTCGACACGACTACAACGTGCTCTCAGCTCCTGCATACAGGTATCGTCCCGAACAGCTCCTTACCACAGTTGCACTGGGACCCCATGACCCGGTTTGTAAGTGACCACCCCCCCTCTGTCCATGCATGTGTTTACCCAGTAAAGACTAAACAAATGCCAATTCATTGACGACCTTTCCAGGGGCCTGTGCACAGCTGTGTTTGGAAACGACGACGTATAAGCTACGGAAACTGAATAACGTCGGAAAAAAAGAGGCATGAAACGGCTGATCAAATCTTATAATGCATACAGCGGTCGTCTGCGGTAAACAATAATTGAGTTGTTATCATTCTGTAAGAGTCAACTATAACTGTGATCATTTTGAATGCTGCACGGATGAAGTGCATTAACAAAAGATACCTGTGTGCATTTCATTTTTTTTTCTGCCTACTAAATTATTGACATTTCAATCGCTCCACAGCGGAAAGCAATCTGCAAATAATGTGTGGGTGTCTCTGTTTGCAGTCACCACAGTTTGTACAAGACCCTAATGTGCTGCCAATAACCAGTGTGCACAAGCTGCTTCAATTAATTTCAATGTCACTTCCACTTGACGACATGGTCTTCGATAAGTAAACAGCTTGTGTAAGAATAAATTTGGACAAATGTGTGGTTGGGTGAGATGCAATATGTATTTTTATATACATATCCTTTTGATTTAAATTCACGAGCGAACTATGATTGTTTCTTTGTAACTGATGTCCTTTATTTAAATAGAGATGCAATACGTTCCAGGCTATCTCAACGTGTTTTCATCTTGATTAATGGGAAAACAAGAACTTTAAATCATATTCTTTGGGTCTTTCGGTAAAGTCACGTAGATAGGCAACACAAGCGGTTGTCATTGGGATGACGAAGAACGCTTGTGTTACGATCGAAACGTCGTAGTTTTTCGTTATTTCCTCTGAACCGATCTACGTGACTTTACCGAAAGACCCAAAGAATATTAATTCCTGCAGTCACAAAAGGTTTTAAGTAATGATATTACTTAAAATCAGTCAGGTGTGCTCTTGTCATATCTTATACAAAAGTATGGGAGCAGCGTTGCAGTGGCACGACTAGAGCATGCCTTGACGGTGATGTTCAAGTATTTTATCTCATTAATGAAGATTCAAAATTAATTTGGACAGCACAAAACACACATTTTTTGTGCATATCGACAAGAAAAATGTGCCTTTTGGGTTGCATCTTGCTTTACTGAGGATCTTGCCGGCTGAAAATATATTTTTATATACGCCTGAAAAACATAAATAAGTAATCATTTTATTTTACAATTTTACGTCCGAGATGGAATTTAAGATATACCACGAATATACACTGGCCCAATCGTGAAAATGACACCACCGGTTTTTTTTACTCTAACATCCGTACATTCTCTGGCAGAAACTGAAGGAGTATTGATGTAGGAAATTAATATGTTAAATCAAATCCGTGAAATCTGATGCAGAGAAAAGGGCACTGCCCATTAGGCTACTCAGCCACTCAAGGGAGGGTTCTATTAATGTTATCAGAATGAGCATAGCTCATCTACGTATGTCCATCATATCCAAACATCTGCACGTGTGTGTATGTCGCACTTCCTTCGACCCATACATAGCCAACCCCGCTAATCAGAGGTGCGGCAAATCTAAGCTCACGTGTCTTTTTATACTTTACGGCAATGTGTTATTTGTGTAGAACCATTCAAATACAAAACATAAAAGCAACATTAGTTATGTGCTTGGTTGTGTTTACAAATGCCATGTTATTGCAAATGAAAAACAAAAACACCTCGCACACTCGTGCAATGTTAGTGGTGTGTGAAGCTTTAATGGAACGTGGCTTTGACGTGCCCATATGTTAGTGTGCGTGAAACCGGCAATTTTCAAACACAACAAAAGTTAACCTCTCTGCAAAAAACGGCTAATCTCTGTTGTTCCAAAACGGCACAACGGTATTAAGGACAAACAGATGAGGTTTGCTTGTAATGTGACAATTGGAATGAACACTGTCGTTTTTATGCGCATTTAAGAACTTACCTGCTAAGCGATTTGATGAATTGCCACAATGCAATTCATGAATACATTAGTTATACTTCTATTTTTGCTTGTATTGTTTCCTGCTTTTCCTATTTCATTTGTACAGTTCTGTCTGCTACATTAGCCTAATTTTAACATTGGCCTATACTTTCCATATAATTTGCCTACAAAGTAAACCGTAGATTTAGATATGCGCAATTCAATGCATGCCTTGTGAGCGTGACAAATTAAATGGGTTCTATGAACTGAGAGATTGTTACGTGTCTATTCAACTACGACACAAAACCCTCGCACAATGGCCAACTCGTGCACACAGTTCATTGTGGCATTGTTAACTCCGATAATCAACGGATCAGCAGGAGGCCAAATTAACATCCACACTCAGCAAGAGCTTGCGAGTGGGCAATGATCACAGCACAGTGGTCGGCTGGAACGGGAGAAAAACAATTCTGGAAATTGAGACCCAAGGCCAAGCTGATAATCCTGATCCTACCCTGCCACCCAGTGGACAAACTAAACTATTTTTTTTATTTTACTAGGTAAGGCCCACTGAGCTATGTAGCTCTTTTTCAGAAGCGACCTGGCCACAAATGATTGCTCAATTAAGTGTATTGTGTGGAATTTTATAGCAGCCAAATAATCTAAACGAACATTTCTAAGATAACCCAGCACAGTTTAGGGATTTTGCATGTAGGAGCTGTTTTACGAATATTGCCGAATTCAAATATTTTGGGTGAGTCTTACGATTTCTGTTTTGGAATTGTGATCCCATTATGAAATGAATATATGACTGAGGAGGGACCAGTGGGGGGAGGGGGGTACCAGTAAGCTGCTGCTTGGTGTGGCATTCGTTAAGGAAAGAAGGAAAGGCTCTGCAGTCTGCCCGACCGAGCAGATTAAGCACTGGGTAGGCATTGAAATGTATGACCAACGCTTTGGCGAATGTCTCTGTAATACTTTTAAATGTAGATTTTTGAGGCCTGGCGCTGCACACTGTAGCCTTGCGTATACACAGAAGAACAACGTGTACATATCACATTCTCTCTCTCTCTGCTCGAACAACAAAATAAACAGTTGGCAACGACAGGTGAATGCGAACCTGTGACTTTTTTTCTCAATGGGCTGCTCGATTTTAAAAAGAGCCACCGCAATCATGCCCGCGCCAAGCGGCGCCGCGGTCTGCCGGTGTGAAAGAAAGACTTGCCGGTTGACGGCGGAGTCGGTGCGGATGGTGGCGATGGGCGAGCGCATGTTCTTCAGGTCCCACACCTTGACGGTGCGGTCGTCGCTGCCGGACACCACGTTCTCACTCGATGCAAACACGGCCGACGTCACGGTGCTGCGCATGCACGCACGCACACACGCAGGCGAGGTGAGTAGAACACGATATACGGATGACGTAACCTTGCTACAACGCGTCTCTCCGTCAGCGACGTTATAATCAAAAACACTCTGGAGCTTCATTATTGACCATAAACATACAAATCTTTGAAAAACCAAGGTTGTGTTATCCACAAGAGGTTTTGGGGTTAGATCGCCTATGTATAAATGTGTCGTTATAGCCGCCCTCACCCGACACAGCCAATTAGTAAGGTTTGTCATTTAAACAAAACATGATAATTAATTAGTTACTAGTTCAGCACACTGGTGTGTTGGAGAGTAAACCCACAGCATTTACAATGAGAATACCACGTTTCACCAGTAATTACAACAGGCATCATCAGGCGGACAGCCAGAGTCGCAAAAGCCTACGTGTTAAACTGAAGGTTGTGTTAGAAAGAAGCCAGTGATATTTTCATATGTAAATGACCACTCATGGTGGGGGTAGAGGTTGGGTAATCTCCAAGAGACATTTCACCCCACCATGGAGAAGCTGGTCTGAAAGCGCCAACAAAAATCGACAGGCGGCTACACATCTACTGACATGAGCAGCGTGTTCTGGGGCTAAACCTTCACGTTCGACAAATTTGCGGGGATAACAACAGTGTCTCCCTTCCGAATGTACGCCGATGACGAATCCGCGATAAACGCGACGCCATTATCCTGGCGACAGAGGCAGATGGATGACCCAGTTTAACAACTGCCGCGACTGCACCTGAGGCAGCACCGGGGCCCGCACGTGCACATCACGGAATACCGGGAAGTGTCAATACGTCTTACTTAATGAACCTGCACCGACAGCACACGCCATTAGTGCCGCCGTACCCAATCTAAGCACCGCATATAAGTGCTTGAGTGTAACATCTGCTATAATTAAAAGGCACAATTTTCCAAACCCAGGCAACCGTTTATTTATTTTTCTTTCCAAAAACTAAAAATTAAGTTATGTGCCAGCGCTATTTTGCAATGTGACTCCAAGGGTGCACATCATTAAAATACTCCCGCGTGTGCGTGTGTGTATAAGCGCACACGTACATTATAGGGAGGGTCCGTATCAGCAGCAAAGGCAGACCCAACAGATTAAGCTCGTGACTCGCACAGGTAGTGTGCTAGTTTCGGATGCAAGCCACAGAGTAGGTATCGCCTTCAAATGGATCTGCATTGCTCAAACATGCGCTCCTTAGGGGCAATGAGCAATCTCCAAAATACATTCGGCGGCGCAATTCACTGGGCGCCAATGTTAGAGACAGGGGGGTGGCCGGGTAGCTCGGGAAGGCTGATGGGCCTTGTCAGAGCATGCAGCCAAACAACACTTAGAATGTGGACTGTAAGAACAAGGTCCTGACATGGGATGCGTTTTATCGTCTCTGCGCAGTCAGCAGTGACTGCACAAAAGAAATCCATCGAAAACGATTGTGCTTCATTCAGGTTACGGCTCAGCGCCAATACCTACGTTTTATAACAAAAGACCGCACCGCTATTTACTGGGCTAATGATGAGATCGACTCAAGTGCAACAGACAAACATCTACAATAATTTGATAAGAGAGACCCGAACAATGCCACCAGATGATATCGTTACACAACAGCGCTTTTGAATGCCGTCTCTGGGAGAAACTACACAACGGAGAAAGGGAGGCAAATACTGACTCGGTGTGGCCCTGGAAGACGTTGACCGAGTGGATGGAGGGATCACGGAAATCCCACAGGCGGAAGGTGGTGTCGCGAGAGGACGTCACCACCAGGCGCTGGGCCGGGTGGGTGCTGCAGTGCGTCAGCTCCTGATCGTGCCCTGCGCACAAAAGAAACCAAAAACAGCCGCCGTTTATCCTTATGCCAGCAGCTGGAAAGCAGTGGTGTTAGCAAGCACCTATTAATGCTGGCTTGCCACATGGTAAGAGGTGTGCTGTAGCCAGCACCATGCACAGTCGGTTAACTTTAGCTCTTCAGTGCTTACGTTTAGTCGGCACACAAAGTACAGCACAACTGCAATAATCTATCATTTCTGTCATTCACAGATTATTGGCTGTTCGTGACTGCCCCCATAATCCATGCAAGATTGAAAATGCTTTGCTGAACACAAACTGTGAACTGTAGAAGTGGCAGTGCTGATGTGATTTATTTGGTAAAAAAAAAAGAATGTTGCTTTTACTTATATTTGTCTATGAAGTCTAAAAAAAAAATGCAAAAAAAGATTTTTACATAGACCCAGATGCAAGTTTTGCACCATTTGAATCTCAAAAAAAACTTCTAAACCTTATAACCCGCTATTTTTTTTGCAGATTAATCCAGCCACAAGTCCGCACTCTCCCAGCAATCAGCAAATTTTTGGAAGCATCGCTATTTTTGGAAGCGCGGATATTTCCTCCCATAATCCACGGCACACCACGTTGGCGCAAAAACATTTTCACAAATTAGTTTGTCTTGAGAAGGTGCGATTCCTATGGAGATGACCAAACGTTGAACCATAGGAAGAGGTTGGTTAAACATTTGGTCGTCTCGATATGAAGATATAAACAAACACAAATAGAGACTGTTAGGGCAAGTGCTGTTTGCGAGCCCCTATTTAGGCCAGCACGGCACACAAAGGGGTGGGGGTGTGTACACTGGCAGAGCCAGTAGGGGGTGGGGTGGCACGTGCCCCCCAATGATCCGATCGAAATCCCTCATTACGATCGGATCATTGGAGTTTATTAGTAATAAATCGGCATTTTGCGACTCCCACTGCCACTGTGTAGCATATTATTTATGTGCCAGGGACTCTATGAGATGATAGGACAATAGTCCATAATTGACAATAAGTAACAGCAAAGCAGTTATAAGTGACTCAGAATTGCGTGCAGTTGCGTATACAGTACACGACTTCCCTGAAGACATACCTTCAGCTCGCGCGATGCCGATCACACATGGTTCGAATTCGACCCCCAATCGATGGCTGCGTCATCGCCGCACACGCGTCGAATAAAAAGGGACAAGTCCTTTTCATTGCTGGAGGGGTTACCCCCCCCTAGCTGAAAATCCTGGCTCCGCCATTGGGTGTGTATGTCTCAATGGCACACACACATACACGCATTCTCACTCATTCTGCTTTTATGTATCCCCAGTTTAACACGTAGGCTTTCGCGACCAATATTATTCATAATAAAAGTGTTTTGGGTTAGATCGCGTTATTTATAAATGTGTTAAATGATGACGTCACCCTGCTGCTGCTCTATTTAAGACCGAGAGCAAGAGTAGAGCCTCACCATTCTGGCGAATTGCCCGATGATGCTGGATGCAATTACCAGCGAAACGTCGTACTCAAAAATTGTAAATGTTGTGGTTTCACTCTTCAACACACCGGTGGGCTAAAGTAGCGAACTATTTGTCTTTTGTCAACGTGACACTGTTTTGCTGATTGGCCGTGTCGGGTGGTGGAGGGTTACGACACATTTATAAACAACGCGATCTAAACCCAAAAAACGTTTATGTATCCCCATTACCATCCACAATTCTCTTCCCACGGGAAGTGTCATTTAGAGACCACAGGCAGGAGACATTGCGGACCCCCCACCCCCGCAGCAGTAGCCACCTGTGAGCGAGTGCAGCAGCTCAGAGGTCTCTGCGTCATACACGTTGGCTGTGCGGTCCCACGATGCAGTGATGAGCTGCTTGCCCCCGACGAGCCAGTCGGCCGCGATGATGACGCCCTGGTGGCCCTTGAGCGCCGTGACGGGAGCGCGCACCGTCAGCGCCGCCTCGCTCGCCGCCTCCGCCGCGTCCAACGCCTCCGCCTCATCCTTGTCCGACGCGTCAACCTCGTCCTCTCCCGACGGCTGTGGAAACGAGGGACAGAGCAACGATTGGGCCGCGTAGCGCAGGGGAGTGGCCTCGTCGTCTTCTGGTCGTCGTCAAGGCCGACAACCAAGCAGAGTGTTTTGGATTTGTATTAATGCTTTTCAAAAATGTTACCAGATAAGAGAGCGTTGGGGGATCAGTGGTGGAAAGGGGCATCACAGTGGTGAGATGTTAACTACCTCGCCTGGTATGGAGAATGTCGTGGGTTCGATTCCAACTCTTGACACCTGTATATTTGGAGTTTTCATGTCCCTCTCCCTATGGGGGTGTGCATTTTTCTCCTGGTCCTCCAGTTTTTCCTTCCACATTTAGAATCAACATGCGTTTAAAGTATTTGGCTACTATAAATGTCCACGTGATGATAAGCCACTTTCGTTGGGCTATAATTTGTGATGGCCAGGTCGCTTATGAAAGAGAGCTAGATTACTTAGTGGTCCTCACCTAGTCTCAGTTTTAGTTAGTGCAATGTGCTACCAAACCAAGCGGTATGAGATTGATTGCTCGCCATGGCTACCGTCAGTTGTGAGTGATATCCGAACCCATTCTGGGACCCCTGCTTTATCAACCCGCATGCTGAAATACGGGAAAACTACTGCCATTACCGATACAGTGTGGGAGGAGGTGTTCAATAAGCAGTGGACTGACAAAGGGCTGTACATTTAAGAGACCAGTTTGACCAAAAGTATCCCTATCAATAAATAACTAATTTTAAATGGGTACAGCAAAACTGTAAAAAAACAAGTAATAATTAAATTAAATTTTTTTTTTATAGATTTTTATTATTTTATTTTTATTAATTTTAATTTCATTTTTACCTACGTGACTTTACCGAAAAAACTAAGAGTATGAATCCTTGCAGTCACGAAAGCTTCAAATCTAGAAGTAATAATGAATAAAACGTCGTATGTTTTTTGTCACCAAGAGGAAAGAAAGATCTCAATATAGCTGCCCAGCTCTACTAGGTATAAATGTGACACAAGTTAGACCTATGCCTGTTAATCAGTTACCACTGTAAACATAACCAAAACTCCGAGGTACTGGAAATTTGGCCAGATTGTGTATGTCACTTGGCGTCTAGCTGTGCAGGGACGTACATTTGAGTCGATGCTGGTCTGGGTCAACGGCAACTGCACCAGGTAACGCCACACATGCGCCGAGTGGTCACCCGATGCTGTTGACACAATAGGAGGCAGTGTCACCCACGCAAACTAAACAGGGCACAAGTTACTCTTTACTCATGATGCCACAGTGTGGTCTTCTTCACAAATTCATAACATGCGCCAGTCACAGAAACACACATCTAATTTTGGAAACACATATTGACAGAAGAGATAGTTTAATCTCAATGCAAACAATGAAGGGTTTCTCCAAACGTACGTCAAATATTTGCCAGGTTTTTTGGGTTAGCCGCATCACCTCTGCAATGTTCCAACAACCAATAAAGAGTGGGCTCGCTTGACCAGGAATGGTCATCGGCTCTTCTGGATTGGCTGAGATGCTGTCCCAATGCTTCACGGATCATAAACTCAATGGGATTGAATCATACCACTCCATAACATCCACGGCCAGAAGGAAGCCATTGTAAAAAATAATTAAGACAAAGTTTAATGCAGGCTTGGATTAGGTCGGGATACCCCAGGCAATCATCTTTTTTTGTTACAAAAACAAGGACTCGAAATCGAGTCACGATACAAATGCTTCTTCTTGGTTCTTTCGGTAAAGTCACGTAACTTTACCGAAAGAACCAAGAAGATGAATCCCTGCAGTCACGAAAGCTTTAAATCGAAAGATACAAATGCTATTGCCCGTGCGTTTCCCTTCCATGCTGGCCCCGTGATGTGACAATTGTGCTCTATGCTTCTGCACATGAGAAAGAGGGCCCCCAAGCACCCAGATTAGATAGGCTCGGTAAGGCTGGCATTGGAATTCAAGGCGGCTCAGCTAACCGAGCTGGCCCACTTCCCAGTGGCCGTTGAAATGTGCCATAATTGCAATTAGATAAGCTATCATCGGTGATGGCCTTAATAGGTACTCACCAACACCGAGGTATCACAACAATTCACGGCTCCACAATTCAATTAATTCAGGCTAAGCCCATTCGGCCAATGGATTCACAAATCGATGGGATTTTTTGCCATTGCATAGCTTGTAAAATCCAGCGGTTGCAGGTTTTACATCAACTACTCGCATACTCTGTATATATAAAACTAAAATAACCGATTCATACATCCATAATTAAATTTTTTTATTGAGAGGGTAAGAAATAATTTTCATTGATGAATCATAGCAAGCTTATTAACAATGCTCACCTGTACAACTTAAAAGGCTAAAAAGAGGACCTTTTAGCTTCGAGCACATTCATGTATGCTCATGCCATATTTCTGTATGTGTGCGTGTTGTTCGTTACCTGTCAGAGCAAGCTGGTCCGTTGGATGGAATTTGATAGAATTAACTGTGGGGCAATAGGGACAAAAACATAATATAATGAGAAACCCAGTCACTTTTATGAACACAACATTGCTGTAAATATAAACAACTGCACACAACACAAATTAAGAATATGTGCACCATTAACTTTAATTTCTGACAGCATTTATGGATCACTAATCAAATGTTGGCAAAAAATCACAAACTATACACATAAACAAACAACAGACCATTGTGAAATTCTAAATAAACCAAGATGTACAATTATTCCAGCTCTGCAACTCCATTAAAAATGACAAGTTGAACATCAATTTTAGCAAGCTACCAGTTGGTAATTTCACAAAACAATACGCACTGTGAAAGCAAAGTAATCTAAAGTGAGCACACATGCGCTACTGTTGAGCAAAAATTCAGTTCATAAATCACCCCCTATTCTAGCCAACAGTTCAATTCAAATGTCATTATTTGCAGAATTTTTTCTCTAAATTAGACATTTCTCGAAAACAAAATCCCACACTAAGCTTCTGGCGTTGATGCAACTATACATTGAACGGTAGATTGTTATACGTGAAAAAGTGGCAATTGTAGCATAACTTTGCATGAACCATGCCGATGAAAACAATTCACTGTCCATGTTCGCTGCAGTCTTGCAAATTTTCCGTTGACACTGCAAAGCAGATCTTATATCCTACTCACTGTCATGTTGCATCAACAAGGGAAGTTAAGATATGCTCTACCCATTAACTACATTGTTTTAAATTTTGCGTTTATAAAAATGTTATTCCTGATCAATAACACATGACGCTCAATAATAAATTACATTTACACGTTAAATGCATTGTCAAGTCACAAACATAATTACAGTGCTGCTCTTCTAAAAACAGCAGTTTGAGAACAGTACTTGGCTAAATAATCTGTAAGATTAACTAAAAAATAACTTGTTTATGGAGTCCCTACGCGCATGTGTGCGCAATTTTGGAGTGGTGATGCAGTTTGTTTGCACAGTTGTTTGCACACATGTGCTACTGTGCTACAAACCCAGAGATCTGGGTTCAATTCTTCGCCAAGGATAATAGTGGCGCGTGGTAATGACCCTTTCCTTGGCCTCCACAAGGTCATAATTGTTTCAGAAGTACCTGGTGTGGTGTATAAACACCAGCAATGAGCAATTATTTCAAGGTGTGGTTCTTGCCACACCACCTCCTTATGTTCAGTAGAAGTCTTAATGGCTTCTCGAAATAATTTGTCTCAACAGCTCTATGAGTTTTTAGGATGATTATCTTTGTGTTTGTGCACGTGTGTATGTACGTGATCATAACGTATCTCGCCTGGCACTCACGCGGTGACATCACCGTTACCTAGTGGCAAAAGGTGGCTCTTCTGTGTGTGTGTGTGTGCACGTGCGCAGATGGATGTCACGCACAATCATCAAGGCTCTTGGTAAAACCCATGAATTCAGGCTCTCATCACTGTGTGATCCCAAAAAAGTAGCCATTTTAACAATCCATCACTGGTCGATAAACTAATGAGAATTGGGGTAATGTGTGCTGTTGCCAAAGGGTGTGTTGGACCGGGCATAGTACCTGAGCCTGCATGTCCAACATACTTTAAGATACATTTCCCAGTCTCTATGCTCCATAGCATGGCAGTGTGATCTGGGCACAGAAAAAAATGCAGATCAGAGAGAAGGTCGATACATTTACTTTCAAAGAGAAGTAACAACAAAAGTCACGGTTAATATTGTTTCCCATGTTCCATAAACTGCCCTGAACCATTGGTAAAAATGTCACGTTTCTATGGCAGGAGCAAGTCTATCCAGGCGACTGTTGTTCAAATAACGACACGGGGAGTTACCATGGTTCTCTAGCTCAGCTCGGCAGAGAAAACTACAAGTGACTCTTTCCCACTATAAAGCAATTTTCTATAAGCCTCATATGAAGAAAATTATCGGTGGTGACACGTCACCATGTCGCCCCAATTATGCTACTTAAGCCACCCTCCTCCACACATTTATAAACGTGCTGGAATGTCCCTTTGAAAAGAGATGCCTGTCATCATCATAGAAATACAATATTAGGGGGCCTGCTTACTTGAAAGATGCTGGATCAAACAAAATACCACTCAAAAACACGAAATTTTATTTCGTATTTACAAAATACCTAGTTTGTGTATCACAGGCTATCCAAAGGGAATTCGAAAACGTATGAGAGAGAAAAAATAAATCCACAACCATGTAGATTCCAGGCACACTGCTATAGCAATTACATTTTGAAAAAAAGATTCAGTTAGGGCGGGTAAGAATGTTACAACAACAAACAACACAAAAACATGGCAGGAGTGTAAAGTGCAAGAAAGATAAACAAATCACCCAAACACACATAAATCAAACTAAACCATCTCCATCCCACCAGGCAAAGCCCACCGAGGTATTAACTTATTGTTCAAAACCAACCCGGCCACAAATGATAGCGCAACAAAGTGGCTCATCATTTGGACATTTATAGCAGAAAAATAATCGAAATAGTGTAAACGCATGTTTCTAAATGTGGAGGGAAAAACGTAAAATGAGCCAAGCTATAAATCATACAACACCCATATTATGTAATGCTTTTCAACATGTATTTATTTAGCAGGACAGAAGTAGACAAGTAGCTGTGAAAGATAAATGCGTTTGCACATTTCTACACAGTAATATTTCACTCTGGTTTGTTTCTTCAAGTTTAAACAAACCCTTTTATCAGTTTGACCGATATCCAATAGGGTCCCCTACCAGCAACACAACCGAGTACTACAGGTACATTATTTTTGTACCATATTTACAAGAGTTGTCGTACCTCACCGTTACCGATAGGTAGACGGACAGAGCTAACGCATAAATGCTTTCAACCCAAGTTGGAAAGCATTGGAAGAGCGATTGGAAATGATGGCACACACCGGCAGACGCAGTGCCGAGCACAACGGGGGCGATGCGAGTGGCGGCCACATCCCAGAGGCCGTCACGGTGTCCGGCGTACTCCTTCTGCAGCTGGCAGACGGCACGTGTAGTCGTGGCCTTGAAACTGGACACGATCTGAACAGCAGACGAACGTGCACGCACACGGTACCGCACGCACAAACACGCGGTCCGGCACACGCACACACGTTCGTTTTTCACGAAACAATCAGTCATTGTCTCCTCCACATTCACGCATTCATGCCCCTGCATGTTAAATCATTACAGTTTTACTGCATAAGTAACCGTAACTTCTGTGCTGTAAATCACACTGTAGCCATAAATTGCAGATGTGTAGCCTGCAGCAAAGACAAAAAAAACAGCCTCTTGTGCTTACCTGAATGCTAACTTTCAATCCAAACAGAGATACTGTAACTCAAAACGTAAGCGCTGGCCATAAAATAAACTGTGAAAACACGCAAAGACTCAGGGCACCCTTTAGCCCTGCATATTATCCTCAACCTGAGAAAGCATGCATTGCCAATATTTACCATGACTAAAAACATCTGTATTACGCTACAAGTTGACATGCAGTGCATAAAGGATTAGCCTTCACCTTGACCCTGTAAATTCACTGTCACCCAAAAATTCCTTAAGCCCATTCAATGACACCAGGACAGAGAAAACCTGTAAGCGTGTGACTATACACGATTTGTTCAAATAACCCACACCAGCTCCAGGCAATAAAGATAAACGAAGAGAATATGCACGCTACAATAAACCACACGTGCGAAATTGTGAAATCTCACAAAATATTGCTGACAACCCCAGCTATGCTACTTCCATTCAAAACATAATTGCCAGGGATTTTTTTTCGCCAACACGGCAAGAGTTGAAATTAAATATTAACCACATTTCATCTAGACCACCTCCAGCTAGTCATGTACTTTGGTGGCAAAAAAATGCAGTGTCTTTACAAAGAACCCAGCCTTTGGTAAACTAAAATAAATATTTCATGCAAGCAAATTTACACAATACAGCACGACTGTTTTTTGCCCAAACAGAAGTCACCATGAGATCTTGCAACCTCACAAACACTAACATTGTTCACCACTAACTCCTTTAAGCTGCTTTAAGCTGACCAAGCGAAACCTTTTAAACAATTTACAGATAACCCACAGCCTGACTGTGCTCAAGATGTTGGAAACCACAATCACAAACTCCACAGCACGGCGCTTTGGAATTCAGTAACATCGGTGCGAGTTAGGCAACAAACGGGAAGAGAAACATCACACTTAAACAACGGAACAGTCGGCGGTTGCAAAATTAATAGTCCCGTCGCAAACGATTGACAGAAAACGGCTCACGGAGTGTGGAACGGCGTTCAATGGGGTCAACAGGCTCTTAGCAAAGACTCCCATCACACGTCTCGCATGCATAAAGCGAGGTTAGGGGCACTGGAGTGCGGGGAGGGGGGAAATATTTCAGGGGCATTCCGTGGGACAGCATTCCCATTACCCAGGAATCTCCTCCCCAGAGCTCCCAGCTCCCAACGTTGAAATTGAGGGCTCCACTCACATCTGTACGCTACAGCAGTGCCGGCGGGAGAGAAATACACGCGGCACATGGGCGCGCGTCCAAAAATGGTAAACTCGCACACACCCACGTACAAGCGCACTCACGGTTGCACAGACGCACGCCTGCGTTGCACATCCCACACGCAGACGCACACACACGCACGCACACAGGCCACGTGGTGAGACAAATGTACGCCTGCTCCGAACCTCAAAAATGCAGTTAACTTGAGCAAACACAAACAAACGCCATAGTGCGCAAGTGTCATCGGGAAGTGAAACAAATGTGAAGCACGATCTTACACCAAATTTTGGGAAAAAATTTAATGATTTTGAAAAACTATTATATTAAACTATGATAATTTACACCAACATAAACTAAACTAAAATATTTAATGAAGCTCAAAATTAATAACTTGAATAGTGCTGTCCCATGCATGCCCATGGCTACGTACACAAACACGTATGCACAGACACACATACAAACACGCCGACATACACCCATGTTTTCCATCTCGTACACATGCGTGAATGAATTCAAATGAGCCTTTGGGGTGACAGATTTTACAGATGGGAGGACGGCACAGCCCAGTGAATGCTGAAGGGAATGGCAAATGACGATAAAAGGATGACGGATGTGAATCGGACCCCTTTAATGGATACCACTGGATTAATGAGCCATCTTTACTGCAAACTGGCAAAATGCAGTGTCAGGGTGAGATGCAATTCCCAGGGCTTTGTTATACCTTGCTTGTTGACGCTTTGTAAGTCGTTTTCAGCTTCTGTGAAAGTTGACTCGTAGAATGCCCGGCTGTTGATACCACAGTACAGAAAACCAAACAAAGCTTAACCATTAGTATGCAGTGAAACATTAAAATACAAAATCGGTAGCGTAAATGAACTGCAACGCGTGCATTAAGAGAACATGCGCAAGTTGGGGACGCAATACTGACACCGCTGTTAATAGGGGATGACGCTCAGTGGTCGGGACGAATGACAGATTGGCAGCCAAAGGAGGAGACGCGCCTGAAAATATATCCATCACGGAGATTGCGCGTTCAAATCAACTAATTTGCGGATGCTGCAAAGATCTTTGCTTCGCAGGATCATGAGAGAAGGCGATAGGCTTGGGAATATCTTCATCCAGGAGTGGAATGATCATTGCTGTTGATGATTAAATTAACTGCACTGCCCCTTAGTTCAATTAAGTGGGAAAATGCTATTGCGGTGCTCAGAATACAAATTTTGGGGTCACATTGGCATCATGTACAAACAAGAATGAAAATATTTTACTATCTTCACCGGGGTCAAGAGTTCACCACAGCCAATGCCAGATTACATTAAACCTTACCAGCACATCTTTAACCATTTACCAACATATATCTTCACAGATAGCTGTTCCCATAGAGTCCTGATTTATTTTTCGCTCAATAATTTCCAGGCAGGTCTTTAATTTTAAGTCTAAATCTTATGCATTAAAATTTTCTCTCCTGTGAAGCAGGGGTCACTACCAGAGACATTTCATGTCTTTTTCAGCTCTATCATTTTCAACTATAATGCAGCGGTAACGATGACAGTGGCTATGTATTTTCACATTGGATTGTGCTGATAAATGTAAGAAAACCATTCATAGTAAAAGCAACTATGCTGATCAAATCTTTGGAATATAGCATGGTTATGAGCGCATTGACTATGCCTGTAAAAACTGCAAGGACGGCAAAGATTATCTAAAGCAAGAGACAAGGATTAATATTTTAAGAAGCGCAATCATTTACATTGCCGCTGAGAGCACTTAGGACGAATATATCTCAGGTGATTAAGGGGACTGCAAAAACATTAATTCGCAATTATCTTGAAACAACATTATTTACAATTACACAAATCAGATAGTGGTAGATGGTGTGGTGTCAACAGGCACACAAATTGAGGCAGAAAGAATTTTCATTAAACATATAGCTTGTCGTAATACCCTTTCTGCAAGCAGAGAATTAATTTGCTTTCATAAACACCCAACACAAATCGCTCATGGATGAGCTCTTAGCATTAAATTATGAAGAAGAGTGACCGAGAGGACAAAAGTGCATACAGTATCAACCTCAGTATACGACCGCTTTGGAATACGTAGAATTTGGTACACGTCGTGTTTTGACTAAAAAAATGTCTTGGGATGCGACGTCTTGCTTGAGATACGACGTGCTTGCTAGAACTTGTATGGGTCGGGATGAGTCACCGCGGACCCGCCGCGTAGACCCCGTTAACGACTCCTCCCCTTCCTCACCACCATCCTCGTCGGCTATCAACTCCTCTCAGCAAGGTAAAGTGGCGTTACATTTTATTTTTATTTCAATTTATTTTGATTTATTTATGCATTTTAGTAATAAGTAGTGTCTAAATTATTTTATACAACCCCATTAATGTATAATATGCCGTATAAAATATAATTTCTTATACTCTAGAACGGATTATTTCCTCTCCCTTTATTTCTCATGGGAAAAATCCGTTTGGTATACGTCATTTTCGGTACAAGTCCTACCTTCTGGAACGAATTAATGACGTATACCGAGGTACCGCTGTATACACATTCATGTAAGCAAGGGAATGTCGGGGTCGACCAGCTACAAAAAAAGTGGCCGAGCCACAAGGCTGAAGGTCAATGTCTCACTATGCAAGCTGATGCGGGCGCCCGTGGCCTGTATGCTATCTGCCAACGTAAACAAGGGCGGGGTAAGGTTTTGAAAGCGAGAGGGCTCGTTACTCACTCTTGGTTTTAAAGACTCCCTTGGAGAGTTCAGAGCCATCGGTGACGGCTCCTTCAGAGGCCAGCCGCTCGTTCAAGCTATCAATCTCCTTACGTACTGGAGGCAGAAGAGGCAAGGGGAAAAGTTACTTGCGTGGATCTGCACAAGTCAAAGTGTGTCGGTTATTCTTGACCTCACCAGTTTATTAATGAGCCGCTGCCAATAACGGCGGGGGGGGGGGGGTCAGAGTATTGTCACGGTCCAACGAAAATTAATGCGACGTATCAGTAAATGTGCTAAAATTATACTCGTGCATGTGCAGTGCGCGTATGTGTGCACTCGCATAAATTCCCACGTGGGCATATGTGTCAGCTGCTGATTAAAGCATTAAAAATACATACGAAGTATTCGAATTGATGTCACGCTTTTTTTTATGCAAGCTACACCATTTGCGAAGTTAAGTTAAGCATCTCCACGTGTGTTTCAAAACGTATTTCAATTACCGGAAACTAATATTTACTCATTTTAATGTACGACAAAAAAAGATGAGCTGTGAAAAGTCACTGCTTCAGTAATAATGCATTACACGCAATTACAATGTGGTAACAGTTCTCAGCAATCGTGAGAAATTACCCTTCTCATGTGGAGAACAAACGTCGGTGAAAAATTAACATGTTGGTTTTTAATGATTTATTCGCAAATGTATCCTGCAATTAGATCACATTAAATTAATATTACTTAAAACTTTCATCGTGTTTTTGTTTAACTGAATAACATTAAACGCACAACTGCATGTATTTCAAGTCTGCAACTTAAATAGCAACGCTCATTACAAGCTCCAATAATATTAACGATCGAGCAAAACCACGACACATGCCTGCAGCCACCTTGCCTTTGAATTTATAGAAGCGATTTGTGTTACAAAACACGGCTCATTAAAGTTGGAGAGACACCACTCTTCAGCTCAGAGCCATAAATAGTCATGAAATAAGGCTCATTCTGATGAACTTTTTTTTTTACCCAAACAGTTTTGGCATGAGTCATAAATGACTGTACTGCATTCTACATTTCACAAAAATTGCAGTGGTGACAACCCAAGGTAAAACGTGTTATACATAATCGAAAATATTTTCACCAGGAATGTAAACACGTGAATACACACCTGTATACGTCACAACAGGGAAACCTTTATCACGAGCATAATAACACAACTTGTTTAATTTTCTTGTATCAACAGGTATTTCTATATTAACTGTTCGACAGAGCATGTATATTCTTTGATAAACTAGATAAAAACTTAACTCCTAAATACAACTCTTCAACACAACATTTATTTTACTTTTTCCATCTTTATCCCTTGTATAAAACTAGCACTTGTCCCCTGCCTCGGGGGACCCCGAATCTCAAAACACACGGAAAGATCCCCCATTTAGCCTTACAAACTAAAAAGGCATGCATTGTCAGAGCCTATTAAGGCTATGTGGTGTAGTGCGGACTGTGTCAGGGCATCTTTGTCTCCCCAGTGCTGAAATGTACACATCACAGCAGGTATCTCAATTAAGGCTGAATCGACCTGGGAGAGGCCAAGAATATGTTCTGATATGGACTTGCGATTGAAGTTTTCCATGACCGCACATTAAACTCCGTTTTACAGGTCTGTACTGAAGTTCACGAGAGGCAGCGATGCTAGTGGTTACTGGACCACAATACAATCCAGGCGACATGGGTTCGATTCCTGATCACAGCTAACACCAGTGGCAAGCGGTAACTGAACCTTTCCAGGGCCTCCATAGGTCAACTCAGCCTTAAATTAGGTGCTGCTATTGTGTGTGAAAACCAAAACTTGGGGAGACAAGAGGTTGCCCGGCAAATTGCTGGTCAGATTACCCCTTAGTGTGCTATGCTGGCCTTAATAGGTGCTTGCTAAAAGAACTTTCCCCCACAGCCTATGTAAGGTATCAAGGGAGATCTTTGCCTTTGATGTAAGACAAAGTACCCTCATTTAAGATAAGGACCACAGCCATGTGTGCATGTGGAGGTGCTTTGTAACAGCACTTGCAAAAACAGTCCATTAAAGGCTACCCAGGGGATTTTTTGTCTGTGCTGTAAAAAATATATTCCCCCCCCCCCCCCTTATCCTTATAAGACTGTTGGGGCAAGTGCTACTAGCAACCACCTACGCAACCAAGCACACACGCACAGTAAAGGCTCTTATCTCAGCGTGCCAGACAGCGGCCGCTCCGTAAACACTGAATGATGTTTGATAAAGCGGAGGCGATGCCCTGCTCAGACTCACGTTCCACGTTCTCCACGTATAGGACTTCAAACTCCTTCTCAATCTGCCCAAACAGCTCCAGCAATGTCTGCCTTATGGCTGGTGGCAGCCGCGAATCCTGTACACACGCAAACACACACACACACATGTACGCATGCATGCATGAACACGGGCGTTTGTGTCACAAACGTTTGTGACGTTTTATGTTGAGGATGCACAGTTAAAGGAAACGTCAAGTTGAACGAGATACCACAATTGAGTCTACATCATGTGCACATTCCTTACTCACGGTGAATTGTATTTTAGGCAGAGCAGCAGAGTTAAGTGTGTATCAATCGCACTGGTAAGCAATGTCAGGTTTGCGTGATGACAATGTTAATATAGCATGCACAGTTGACATAGCTTATGCAATGTTTAAGTTGTATTCTATTTAGTGTAAATGTCTCGTTTTTTCAGCACATTTTTAAGGGAACTGAATAAACAAAAAATGGTCATTCACGATTGATGACGATGATACAGTATTTGTATAGATCAGGGGTTCTCAACTCGTCAGAACAGAAAAATGGAGAAAAGTCAAAATTAGGACTTTAAGTGTAAGAATGTGCCTGATGATTGATAAACATGACAACCCACACCAGTGGGCTACACCGATTGAAGTTGTACAAACCACGAGAGAGAGAGACAATTGAATTCACCAGAAAATTGCTGTATTTTTACATAAACGTACAAATTCCATTATAATATACCTTAAATGAAGCAACAATAACATAATGCTCATCTCAATGTCACAAGGCGTTCTACACAAGGCTCGCTGTACATACCACATCCTCCAAAAGACTTTAGCCTCGCACCTTGCCCTCTGGCACTAAAAACGGTGACACGTTCGCAATCGGTACCTGGGTCTGCGAGGGCCTGCGATTGACACTCTCGCAATCTCGCTCCGCGTTGTTGTTATCAAGTTCCATCTTCTGCCGCCCAACACCAGGAGGAGGCCCGAATGAATGTCGGAACTTACGACGGCAGCGACCGCATTCGAAGTTGGGAGACCGCCCCCGGCTCGTATCTAACAAGTCTGCTGCCACGTTGTTTGCTCAAGCGTCCACCCGGCCAAAACGAGAGGTTGCGATGCACAACACGCACACCACAGCACGCGTGCACGCACGCACGCTCGCTCGCTAAGCAAACACAGCGGCCTGGCAATCGCCACTGCCGCCCCTCTTTTAGAACCGCCTAGGGAGGCACTGTCAGGTCGGGTGCGAAGACATTGCGGTGCCGGGCGAACACAGCGATGTTGACGGCGAACTCTTGGAAGCGAAAAGGAAATCAACGGACCGAGTAAGTAAAAGAAAAGTATCAATTAAAAATTGAAAACAATAGGAAGAAACAAATAAAAGAGATAGATGAACGCTCGAGGGCCAACTGTAAATTTCGGATTAAGGTGAACAATTCGTTTGTGAGAATCAATGGAAGCGGTCGCGCGTGGATGACACTGCGGTAAAGTTGTGAAGTAAAAAAAGAAAAAACTGCAACGGCACAGCTCGCAAAAGTCAGTTGTCGTCAGCTTGGGGCGTCGGGTAGAATGAGCCTTGCGAAACTGGTGTTACCACTTGAGCACAGCTGCACACACGTGACAAGGTGAGACAGCTGACGTGTCTCGAACCTTTGTTTACATTTCTGGAAGGCGGGGCCCTTCTTGCCTTACAAAGGTCGCCATTCATGAGTTTTCCTAGACCCATGGTCACCAACAATTATTTACAGCCCAAGCCATCCCCGTGCCCGCAGGCAATGTTTATAAATGTTGCAGAAATACATCAAGGAAATAAAAAAAATTAATTCGTTTAAAACTTATACAGTCAGCCTCTCAACTTTAAAACTGTACTTGGTCACGGAGCAATATAACTGAACTGTAGCGTTAAGATAAAACTAGTGCATTGTATAGCGACTATGAATGTAAATCTTGGATTTATTCTAATACCTTTCTAGGATCAAATAAGCTTGCTTTTGTTCGAAAAAATATATACATAAGGTGAACAAAATGTTCACCTTATGTTCACAGTATGTTAATGATACGTAAAAAAGTAGGCTGATCACTTTAAAACACAATTCAAAACACTACCTCACGAATGCGTGGAAACATAAGACAACCATAATTTCTGAAAACGGACTAAAAGTCAATTAGGTTTCCATGGCAACCATGCTTTTTTTTGTTCACGGAAAAAAAGTCGGCACCATTATGGGTTTAAAAAGGTCACAGAAGACTGTCCAGATTTTCCAACGCGCTCACATCCTTATCTCATTCCAATTCTAACAGCTGGTGTGGCTCCACACAGGTGTGTCAGCAGTGATTATGAGTCTTTTGCAATTTCCGCAGAGGACAATTTTGTAGTTTAAAATAGATTCTATTCTTGACCCCCGAGGCAAAAACAGTGGGGAAAAAAGTAAAACTAAACTAAAACCAGATGGGTCTCCCCACGCAGGTAAAATGGCATCACGTAGGAATGTAACGTTTCACCACCTGTCACAATTCAATCAATTTTCAAGATACAGGATCACGATTCAATAAAATGTGTGGTGGCTGCAGTAGTCACATACCAGGAGGCACCTAGCCACGAATCTGGCAGGATGATCCTCTCTAATCAAAGTCCTCAAACGGGACGTTGGAAAGGTGGATCCAAAGCAAAACATCAAGGTTCGAGCCTGGAACGTACGTTCAATGTACCAGACCTTCCAAGACGGCCCAAGTTGTCCATGAGATGAAACGCTACCAAATTGACATCTTAAGAGTGAGCGCGTGTCGCTGGACTGAATCAGGTAGGATACAAACTTAATTTGGAGCTTTCGTGACTGCAGGAATTACTCTTTGGTTCTTTCGGTAAAGTCACGTATAAAGAGAAAATTATAAATTTAATACTAGCATACGACGTTTCGATTGCAACACAAGCAATCATCGTCAGGTATAAATGAAATAGAAAACAAACCTAGTATACTTAGAAATATAATGCAATACAACACAGAGAGTCGGCTAACATAACAGTCAACACCCTACCTGGTTGATTACGTTCTTCCAGAGAATGCTAAATTTGAGAGAGAGATAAAACATAGAACCGGAGACATATAGACAGACATATAAGCAGAGAGAGATAACACAGATATACATAGAGAAAGAGACACATATATAGGCACACAGATAGGTAGGATAACTTCATCAGAGGGATACATCATCCTTCACACTGGTAGAATGGAACTCGAGTCCATAGCAAAAACTGCCCTACGGTGAAATCTTAATTATGGAGCTTTCGTGATTGCAGGAATTATTCTTTGGTTCTTTCGGTTAAGTCACGTCTAAAGATAAAATAATAAATTAAAATAAAAGCATATTACGACGTTTCGATTGCAACACAAGCAATCATCATCATTCTGAATTACTGCAGAACACAGATATGTAAGTGTTGGTTAGAATTAGGTTACGGCTAATGTGAGACCATTAGAATGAGATGTAATTTTAGAATGTTTTCATTTATACCTTGTTGATCTTTCAAACTCAATAAAAATGTAATTTGGCAACACGAGGGTTAAAGCAAAGCCCCTGTAATATTAATATCAGTGGTATTCATAAGTTTAAACACGTTCATAGTGATGCCAATGCTGCAAGCACAACACATCTTTCAATTCAATCGTCCTAAAATAAAATATGGCACATCTGCTTGGCCGCCTGTTATTTAGTTTTATTTCTATATTTTGTTCAAGTGATTTGTTTACATGTCCTATACTTTGCACTCCAATTGTGTTTTCGTACCGTTTGTCGATGCGAGGTTCTGACGCACACCCCTCCTGGACATGCGCGAAAAAGAGCTTTAACGCTCATCGGATTCCTCCAGTATAAATAAATATTCAGATTCTGATATTCTGATTAGTTACCACGGTCCCACTGAGACTGACACTCGCATCTACAACTGTATTAACCACTGCCACTTTTATTGCAATAAAGTAACAGGAAAGCTTTCTCCAGGAATTGTATACACGAGGGATGTGTTCTCGATGTATTGCTTTATCAGAAATATGATTAAAACAGGGAATCATAACAATAGTTGTATTTTCTATAGCGTCATGCAAATTGCATATAATAAGGCTGACCCATTGTGAAATTCTAACATTAAATAACTATATAAGACCACAGAGAAACAAAAAAAGACATGATCAAGGGTAGAGGTACATACTGGATATGTAGGAAACCATAACATGAACAGGATATAAGATAAGTGCATAGCTAGATAATGTTAAGATTTATCTGAACATGTGATGTCACAGGAAGTGATGTCACTTTCACGCCTCACTTTTGTGTTTTTCCTGCAGATAATTGTGCAAGTTTGATGACGCATGGCATCAATTTTGCTTAAAATTCAAATATTTAAATACTTACATTAAATCACGGTTTTACCGATAAATGAACCTTATGGCGGGACCCCGGGGTCCCATAAGCCCCCGGCTCTCGCATAAACTGCGTTGCAACGTCATTTCATGTCTGTTGAAGGCGAACGATATGGCATCTATTCCTCTCGACGAGCTCTACACGATGCGCTAATCAAAGTTTCAAAGTTTTGTTTCTTCTGCGCATGTCGTCCTCGCTGCGCTTGGACGACATGACAACAGAATGATCCGCGCCAGGTGGGTCGCGGCGTTTATGTGTGCGCAAAGGGACGGAGTTGCCAAAAATTTTTAAATGAATTGCGATTTTTACTTCCATTTATTCGGGACCCGCCATACATAAGGTTCAAATGTGCAGCCCTGCAATTCCTGACTCACACTACTGCTGGCAGCAGGATACAATTTAGGGAATACACAATGTAATATAGATACACAAGTTTGCTTCCCTCTGGCCAAAGAAGTGGGGGCAGTAGGGTGTGGAAGGGGCAGATAGAGAAGGGGAGGGGGCTCTCAAGTAATAGGACATGAAAAGAGCATTGCTTGGCCATTCCAGGAACGGCCCAGCATGACTCAGGCCTGTTTTCCAATGGCCATGAAAACATATCACAAAGGTGTCAGTTTTTGTACCAGTTGAAAGGGTAAAAACCTATTACTATATTTTGCCACTGGTAAAGGAGGTCTCATAGTGTATCACGAGTGATTTGCCAACACGGCAATGTCACACCGCTAACAACGGTTTCTGGTGTTGCAGACACTTTATTGGAAGTCTATTCATACATTTGCAAAGTGTGAATTCCATTGCAATCAATGAGGTATGTGCCATATTTTAATAATGTTGCTCAATAATAACACCTGCCAATACCTGCTTTTTTCAATTTCAATGTACCATCAACTTCATCAAAAAACGTTCGCACTCAATCGGTGTCCATAGCCAGACTTCGAGTATTTTAAAATAAACATGTTGTTTCAAGTTATGCAATCGGTTCTTTTGCGTACGCATGTGCATGTTAGATGATGTAGTGGTTTGCATACTGTGTTACAATCCCAATATAATATGGGTTTAATTCTTGGCAATCGTCAACGGTTAAGGGCGACGACTAAAATTTGTCAATGTTAAACGAATTAGGAACAAAACTAAATTCCAAGTTACATTTAAATTTTTCTGCACTGCTGACCAGGGAAACATCCCATTAAATTCACTACACACAAGAAGCTGGATTGCATTTTTGTCGAGAACCCAGAACTTTAACGTAACATCTCAACAGTGCTAACGACTACTACTTAATAATTATTATTTTACTAGGTAAGGCCCACTGAGCTGTATAGCTCTTTTTCAGAAGCAACCTGGCCACAAATGATAGCTCAAAGAAGTGGCTTATTGTGTGGAAATTTATAGCAGCCAAATGCTCTAAACGCATGTTCCTGGAGAGAAAAACTGGAGGACCCGGAGAAAAATCCACGCGACCGCAGGGAGAACATGCAAACTCCAAATATACAGCAGGCATCAGGGTCGGGATCGAACCAACGACCTGCATACCAGGCGAGGTAGTTAGCGTCTCGCCGCTGCAACACTCCAGCACAGATGTTAACCCTCTGAGCAACACAGTAACAACGTCAAGCATTAAACGTATATTTTTTTACAAAAAACGTTTAAAAAAACCTGCACTGTTGATACAGAGCTGCCACTTCTCAAGCTGTGAAGCGATTTGCGCCATTAGGCCTCGGAACCAAACCATGCACCCTGTCCACTTTAGGTCATATGACAATTACACCCACACAGCCAGTTGAGGCAGCCATAGAGCTGGCAAAGTCAATTTATCAGAGCCAACACTGACATTTAATATGGAATTGTGCAGACAAGAACAAATAACGTGGATAATAGTGCAGAATGGAGTATATCATGTGTGTCTTCTGCCGAAAGGCATCTACATGCAGCATGTGGTGGTCTCGCAATCATTTGTCAAACCACATGTTGACTTTAAAGAGCAGGTGAAAACTCATTCAGACACAAGCTTACCTTTGCAAGAGGAGTGTGATAATGCACAGGAGGTACTATGTTACTGTTACCACTAACGTTCTTGCAAAATGTCTGTATTTGTATATTGTATACAACAGCAGATGTGCATTCAAATGTATTTCCCACCATTATAAAATCCTAGG